TAGAAACCTTTTTTTTGTTCATCATGTTTATTGAAGAAAATAAAGTATCTTACCAATACTTTACCTCTGTCTCCCGTGTCGTGCAATTGGGTCCTACCTCCTAAGTGTCTGAGTTCTTAACAGAATCTCCTACAAATCATCTCAATATCCATATTTCAATAGAACCATACAGCTCAATATAAACCTGGTGTGTGTTACAAATCCCCCAAAACATTTGCTCACCATTGAGATGAGTCGACAAGAGAAGACAGAGTCGGTGCCCATCCAGTGTTGGCAGTCGGGATACTCTCCTTTCTTCAGGCAGTACTGGTTCCCGCTGAAGTTGGGCTGGTCGTAGATCATGAAGCAGCCGCTCTCCACTCGGATGGAGCTGCATTGTTTGAGAACGCACCTCAGGTCGGCATAGTCCTGGTTGCACTCAAACTGTCGCCCACAGAAGTTCCTTTCCTCATAGAAGACGATCTAGAAGTGGAAAATATTGTGCTTTTGTTTAGAAATAGATTTCTGAGCATATTTGTAAATGATCATGCTGTAAAACTTAAGATCAAGAGCGAATTAGTTCTGGGTATTTCGAATTAAATTTTTCTGGATTTACTATGAAGCTCAAGACTTCAAATAAAAGCCTTGAGGCCTGTTTCGTGAAATTCACAATAAAAGCCTTTTTCTCACAATATTTCCATCTGATTCCTCATATTTTGTCTTGAAATAATCCTAGTAATGAAGGTTAAGGCTTGAAAAGGAAAGCCTGGATGCCTTTACTTCACAAAAAAAGCATATTTTCACATAATTGATCAACTTTCTCCTACTTTAAAGGGAAAGAACACGGTTATGAAGCTCAAAAACAGCCTTGAGGCTTATTTGGACATTCAAAAATAAAAGCATGTTCCAGTCCTATAGGTAAAAAACGGTGTTCTGTCCCCCTTCCTATTCCTATAGAGTTCTGTTTACCTTCCCCATGATGCCCTGGTTGCCTTGCGCCATGCCTTCACCGTGTGATCCGTGCAGCTCTTTGAAGACTCCCACCTTTCACATATATAGTGAAAGCAAAACGCAGACTCTGCACGTGTCATTCATATTGTAATAGCCAGAAATCTTTGTCATTTTTGTCACGGTGTTACCCTGAAGAGATGTTTAGGAGTGATGGTTGTACAGGTAAGAGCTGTTTGGTAACGTGTCGTGGCATGAGGTTTTTCAAATGAAACATTCCTGAATGGGTGGATTTTTTATATATATTCGTATTTTATCCTCTAGTTTATGCAGAGGTGCTCATGGAGAGATTTATTGGTATGCACATATTTTCTTTTTTATCACCTAATTAGCTCGATGAATATAATTAAGTCGATGATTACATTTCCACATCTTTGGATCTTTTGCTACTTTATTATCAACACTTTCTCCAAAGTTAAGTTTAACCAACAGTGTTTAAGCTCACACTACATCGCTTTTTCTCTTATTTTCAAGAAGTTGTGAAATTGAATATTAATAGATAACAATATTATTTATAGATCCTGTTTATTTGTTTACTATGACCCTATAAGTACATATCCTTTGTAAGCTGTATCTAAAGATGATTATATGAGAAAATGTTATTCCTCACATTGTTTTCATTTGAGATTTCCTGTTTGTTTTATTTTAAAGGCATGTGAGTTTGATTTTTGGTTTTATATAATTTCAACTTTCTACCACTGCCCTCTGGTGGACACCAAAAACAATAACTGCACACTGCTTTAACAGAAAGTTTTAAATCTCAAATGTGAACAAGAAATACCCTTGTATTAGTTTGTAGCATACTCTGTATTAGTTAATCAGATGTTAAAGCAGATATAGATTAACCAATCACACCAAAATGTTCATTTAGTAGCTATTCTGGAGCTTTTGATCATATCACAAGACATTCACGCAGAAAAAAATCACTTTGAAAGGTTTTTTTTTTTCTCAGCACTAAAAGGATTTCTTAAGGTTAAAAGTTTGATCCTGTTTTTCCACAACAACTGCAAACTATTGGCTGATGGAGATCATGTGATGTGTTTTAACAGCTAATCAATGGACCTTGTCGTAAGATTGTCAAAGAAGAGCACACTGAGTGAAGCAGACTTTCTTTAAGCTCTACAATAGATTACGCTTGAGTCTCGGTTGTAAGTGTCAGCGCTTGCAGGATTTTATTCAGGCCTCTGATGAGAGTCAGGATGTCAGGCCATGACCCCTTCACATCCTCGGAGGAAAACATGCCCTCCAAATGCAGAGAGCAAGAAAAAAACTGAATACAATTGAGCACTGACGCCATTTTATTCAGCGTGTGAAACAGGGCAAAGAGCAGACATTTGACAAGAACTGTGTTTCTGTCTTTAGAGATCCATGAGACGCCTGATGGAGCCGATCCTGGAGTTGCTGCCGCTCCATTCGTTGAAGCTCTTGTACTGGCCGGGCCTCATGTAGTAGTGACGTCCCCTGTAGTTGGGCTGCTCGTACATGAGCCAGTGGCCGTCCATCACGTTGCAGGAGTTGACGTTGGACATGCGGAAACGCTCATTGAGGTTGGGGCAGTTGTCTGTCAGCTCCATCATCTGACCTCCCATGTCGAAATGCTCGTACAGCCTCATCTTGTAGCTGCCGTTGTGCTGCAGAGGGAAAGTCAAATGGTCACATCTCAACAAAAGTCACAGAGGTTTCACATTTTTTAAAATACTGTCTAAAGCGTTTTGTTTAAAGGAATAGTTTGATATTTTCGGAAACATGCTTATTTGGGTTGCCAAGACATAGATGAGAAGATTGATACCAAACATGAATATATTTAAAATAACTAATATTTAGCAAGAGCAGCTAGGTAGCTTAGCTGAGCATAGAGGTTCGGCATTGCAGTTGGCCTGGCTCTGTCCGAAGGTTAGTGAAACCTCAAAAGAGAATTAAAATGAAGAACGTTTTAATTACTTATGACTGACGCTGGTGCTGGTAGGCAGATTTTGTTTCCTTCGTAAGTTGCCAGGCCAGCTGTTTCCCCCCTGCTTTCTAGTCTTTATTCTAAGCTAAGCTAACAGGCTGCTAACGTATACATTTTCCCGACAAGAGAGTGTCATTTCGAAAATATCGGATGTCAGCATTATCTACTATTTTGAGAACACACATTGGAACTGCTGTGGAAACAGATCAGCACTTCCTAAAACAATGCTCAGAATTCAAACCTGTATGGAAACAATACTTCCCAACATTCTTTAAAAGGCATCCTCAATTATTTGAAAATGAAAAATATATATATTATGAGGGGAAATTAAAGAAAGCTGTATTCTTGCAGGACAGTTTGTCTCTGCCTGCCTCAACATGAGAGAATCAGACTTACCTCGGGTCACAATAATCAATAACTTATCTTAACTTTTTCTAATGTTCTGTGTTTTCGTCTTTTTTTTAACTTAATTGTCTAGATTATGTTCAAAAAGTATATTGTTTTCCTTGTAAAGAAAACATGTTATTCTTACATTTGTTCAACATTTTTAGGAACTTAACAGTACCATTCCAAATGTCTAGATCTGGCAAATGAACAAAGCTTTGGTAATACTGGCTAATTGCTAATACAAGTATGTTATGTTACAAAAGGCCTCACCATGGGGATCATGCGACAGGACCTGACACAGTCATTCATTCCAGTCATGCCCATGTAGTCGGAGTACTCTCCCCTCTTCATGTAGAACTGAGTCCCCATGAAGCCCGGGCGGTCGTAGATCATGAACATGCCGCTCTCCACCCTGATGGAGCGGCACTGCTCGAACCTGGAGTGCAGGTCGGAGCAGTCGCTCATGCACTCATGGTGCTGGCCTCCAAAGTTCCTGGCCTCGTAGAAGATGATCTGAAGGAGCAAAAAACATCACATTGAGTACATTTCTCATATTCAGTCAATCACAGCGATCTATACACACAAAACTGAAACGTTGACTTTAATTAAAGGTATTATTTCAACAAATTCCACATAATTGTATTAGGTTAATTAGAAGCAATAATATTAGGTTTAAATAATAAATATTAAGTTAAATGCAAAACTATTCTCTGTGGAAGTGGAACTTGTTGACATAATACATTTAATTAAAGTAAATGTTTCTGGTTTTTCAGTGTACACAGTAGTTATGGCTTGTTTGTATACTCCTGTGTAAATTATATACTTGACAAATACGAATAATGTTCTCGTTTAGTTACGATTTTTAGTTCAAAGTTAACATAACTGTTTCAAGTCAAATTATAGGGAAATGTATATAAATATTTATCCATGTATACAGCGTTTGTTAATTGCATTGGAGTGAAACAAAACCAAAAAACGATGTTAAAATATATATTCCCTCCGTTAATTCACACCAGAGTTTCTAACACATTTTAGTAAGTGCCTGCTTTTTATTATAAATGTGTACATCACAATTGTATATCACAATATCTCAAATGCCTCACTTCCATTGAAAGACAATCAACTATCATATTGAATTATCAACCAGTCCTATCTTTATGTGTAAAGCAAATCTGGATACAAACCTTTCCCATGATGGCAGCTGATGTTGGTCAAACTTCCTTCTGTGCTTTGACCACCAAAGGGAGTCCATGTTTTTATACGTTAGCCCGTGTTGTTATTGTAGTCCTGCAGTCAGCAGAGACTCTACAGGAGTCTCCTGTTTGTCCGCTGGGATAAAGGGTTAACAGAAACCTGCAGCTTCCAGCAACAGCTGCAACACAATCAGCGCTGAGCTCTTTGACCCATCTTCTGTCTGTTTTAAATGGGATATTGTCAGTGTAGTCATCGAGGGTTAAGAAGCTGAACATATGTGTAAACATGGGGAAATAGATATATGTTTTAATAAGCTTAAACAGTGTTTGAATATGTTGTCTACTGTTGTCAGTAACAAACAAGTGAGTTAATAGTATACGCCCATTGATCAGTGTTGATGCTTTCTGTATCTGTAGGGATGTGATCGGCAGACAAAATAAAACAGGAAAATAACACACTTGTTTTCAATTTACCACAATGTAATCTCATAAACAAGCACTTAGTCTTAAATATTTAAAACAACAATAAATACAAAATGTATATTCTAGTGTATTAATGTTAGGGTCACGCATATATTAATATAGACTCTTACATGATGACATACAAATATTAGAAGTGGTAATTATTAAGCGTGGGAAACAGAAAATAAGGCAACACTTTATGCTCATAATAATAATTTGGTTTATTCATATGTAACAAAACCTAAAGCTACAAGTGTTAACAGTTTCAAATGACTCTAGATTTGGTCCAGTTCACAATATCTTTCCATATATAAAACATCCAAAAGATAAAGCCTACTCAGGGTAAGTAGCAAATTAGTCAGAACTAACTTTACAACATATTATACAGAAAGGTGGATTTTTTTGCGCATGAGAATAGACAATTTTTTTAAGTGTTATTAAAGAAGAATATCTCTTCTTGTGCCACCATCTGAGCAAAGTGTTTATTTACTGTCAATAAGCAGTAAAACTCTTTGTTTATGGCATATCCTGACTGGCTGCATCACGGCCTGGTACGGCAGCTGCACCACCCTCAATCGTAAGGCTTTACAGAGGGTGGTGAAAACTGCACAGAACATCACCAGGACGGAGCTGCCATCCATGGAGGACCTTTACTCCCAGCGGCTCAGGAAGAAAGCCCTCAGGATTATAAAAGACCCCCATCACCCCCAGCCACAAACTGTTCTGTCTGCTGCCGTCTGGCATCCGGACTAAAACCACCAGACTCAGGGACAGTTTCATCCCACAGGCATTAAGACTGTTAAACTCCTGAACTGCTGAAACAACATCCATAACATTCATCTGCTACTTAGTAATTATGTATCTACTTATCTAATATAGCATTCCAATAACTCGCATAGAGACTCGTATTGCAATATTTCACTATTTTAAACTATTTGTCTTTTGTATTTACTATTTACTTGCACTATATTTTTCTGTTTATCTGTGTTATTGTGTTGCACTGTTGGAGAAGCCTGTGACCTAAGATTTTCATCGACATAACTACTCTGTAGCTTTGTTCGTATGACACAATAAAGAACCTTGAACCTAGTAGTTGTAGAATATGTTCAGGCATTAATACGCTTGCTTTTTGCTTTCTAATAACTAATAAAGAGCCAATAAACTACTTATTGCATGCTAATAAGCAACAAGTTAAGAGTAAATATGTGTATCTAAAGTGTCAGTGTCACTGAAAACAAAATAAGATATAGGCCTATACTGGTACTTCAAAAGATGGATTTCTTTTTGTTAGTTTAATGACCCAAAGTGGCTTTTTAGAAGCCAGTCACTTGACACCAAAATATATATTAACAAAAGCAGAGGAAACAGTTTATAATAGATTAATTTATTTAGTTATTCAAAACAATGTCTTTATCATAGCCAAATGAAACACCCCACTCCTAATTTTACCACACAGTTCAAAGACATTTCCACAAATAGATGTTTTTTTCAGGAAGAGTTGGATTTTTTTGAGATGTAAATAAAATCAATAGCATGCAAATATTATATTATTAAATTAAAACTCTGTGATTCTGCGGAAGGACCCGGTGGTGGCGCAGGTGGCCCCCCAGTCGCTGAACTTGCGGTACTCCCCGGGCCTCACGAAGTACTGCCGGCCGCGGTAGTTGGGGTGTTCGTAGAGGGTCCAGTAGCCCTCCATCACGTTGCAGGAGTAAATGTCGCGGCTGCAGAAGTTCTCCTGCACCGACTCGCAGTCGTCGCTGAACTCCATCATCTGACCCTGGAAGTTGGCACGCTCGTAGATCCGCATCCGGTACGGGCCCTCGCTGGTCTGGAGGAAACACAGCGAGAAAACACAAAGTTAAAAACAGGAAGTGTACAGGCAGTGGAGTAAAGTAACTAAGTAGATTGAATCAAGTGCACTGAAAAGACTGAAACATTGACTTTAATTAAATGTATTATGTCAACAAATTCCACTTAATTGTATTCGGTTAGTTGCAAGTAATACTATTGTAGTTGAGCCTAATGTGTTTTTTTTTAACTTATTTAAGCTTTCAACTAACCTAATACAATTAAGTGTGATGTGTTTACATAACATTAAAGTCTTAATTAAAGAAGATGGGGTTTTTTTTCAGTGTAGCTCATACACTTTACATATTTGTAATTATTGTGAAATAAAGGAATAACAGAAACAAATATATCCAGTTACATCCATTTAGTTTAGTCCCGGAGTCTTTTGTTTGGAGAGTAAGCGAAAAACCTTCATTTGCAATTGATTCATTATAATTTGCATTATGCACACTGAACAAAACACACATTTAGGGACTTTTTAAACAATGAAAAAAACTAAATAACATATATATAACAAGTTGATCTCAGACAAAAAATAATATGCATTACACCATGTTATCTATTGCACTAGTTTATGTTCTTAATGTTATGTTATATACTTTATGTTGATTTTCAATGCAAAAACTGTTGTGTAGCTGTATGACGATAAAGCCTTTGAATCCTTTGATGAATTCACTTTAAAAAACGGTGTGTGAAAAACTCTTTACACAAAGGAACATCCATTCATTCCCCTTCCTCATTGTCTACCAGGTCAAAACACTAAAACAAATGACATAAAGCAGACATTTCTACTCACATAGGAGAAGGTACGGCAGGAGCGGATGGTGTCGTTGTAGCCCATCCAGCGCTGGTAGTCGGGGTACTCGCCCCGGGTCAGGACGTACTGGAACCCGGTGTAGTTGGGCTTCTCGTACAGCACCCAGCAGCCGCTCTCCACCTTGATGGAGTTGCAGCGGCTGAAGTGGGGGTGCATGTCGGGGCAGTCCGTGTCGCACTCATGGGAGCGGCCCTGGAAGTTCCTGTCCTCGTAAAAAGTGATCTGGGTCCAGGAGAGAAATCAGGGAGAAATCAAGGAGAGGTCACACCCAGTCCACAATTCCTGCAAATCTATTTTATTCAACACACTCTCACAGTCTGCGTACAAATGACACGACTTTGCAAAGGCGTGCAATAGATACGCAGAAGTCCGATTGTGCGTGCATATGATACGCTTATATTGCACCTCAAACATTAAAACAAAGAGGTCTGTGGCTTCAGGCTTGATCGCCGTTCCAATGACAGTTTTAATGTTTGCGGTGCAATAAACGACACAGCAGCTTATTAGGTTATGGTTAGGGTTAAATAAATGGCAAAGATATGTAGAAAATAAACTCATTTAAGATACGTTCATAACAAAAGTAACGTTGGAGAAAATTGTAGAAAAAAACGTATCTGACATACGTTCATAACAAACGTTACGTGGGAGTATCATATGCACGCAAAATCGGACTTCTGCGTATCTATTGCACGCCTTTGCAAAGTCGTGTCATTTGTACGCAGACTGAAGAGAGTGGGCTGATTTTATTGCACCATTTAGTGACAACATGGCTTTTTATGTTTGGTAAATTGTATGTTGTTGGAGGAGCATAGGACCCAAGATTTCCATTCCCAAAACTAAGCTGTAGCTATTGTGCAAATGCTAAATACATCTATGAAACAGGAATAAAATACATATATTATCTCATGCAAAACAAAACATTTCATTCTTAATACAAAGTTGTTGCAGTATTAATCCACGTCCGACCGAATGAACAAGAACATTTTAATTGAAGGTCTTTTGCATATTTGTGTTCCCTGCATGCAGATTTTCTCAAACATAAAGCCAATAAAGAGTGTTTTAAGTCTGTGTGATTTAATAGTATGGGTCTTTTCACATTAATTGCACACTTAGTTTCCCTCCTAATCATAGCTGCAAAAGAAGAAAACTACATTTTAAATATATAGTTGCACTATTAATCACTTCCCTGCTGTTTGAACAACATATATTTTAGCCTAACACATCATTTTTGCTTCCTTTTTTTCCTGCATGCACATTGTTTGAACATAAAGCCTGTTGAAAGAAGTCAAAGACAGTTTTAAGTGAAGAGGTTAAACTCTCTCTTCTTTCTCGCGTTTTTGACGGTTAGTTTCAAACCCAAATCCTCATCATACCTGCGAGGTGAGTAAGCAGCTTATTCTCGCACCTATCATGATATAAATAGCCACACAACAGTTTCTCTTTGACATTTTTTAGAGGTTGCATTGATATCCAGAATGTCCTGCATTGCTCTGGCTACATTACCAGGTTGATAAATCCAGGAAACCTTACCTTGCTACTCATCTTGCAAAGAGTCCAGGAGCCAGTCACCTAGGGGAAATGTTGGTCTCACTAAGCAGCAGCAGAGCGCTCTATATAAACCTCAATCAAAGGGTGAGCATGCTGTTATTTCAATGAGCGGGGGTTTAACGCGCTGGCATCGCTGCCAAAGGTCCTGATCCTGGGCATAGAGCGAAAACGCCTGAATCATCACTGCAAAAGTCCTACCAGGCAGATTACTGACCCACGTGCCCTCTTTATTGATATGCACATGAGAAAGACTTTTTATCTGCTAATCCTTCATCAAGTGGATCAATCTTTCCATGCAGAGGTCATCAGAAAACCAACACAGCATGTAACCTTTTCCTGGAGTTTCAAACAATTGGAGCTGTATTTGCAATATTTGATGCCTGGCTACATTTCTGACATCATTATTGAAATTATTTTGTACTATTTGTTCAACCTCCACATGGTCAAGTCATTAGTGCACATCATAAAATCACTTTCTCGTTTTTAGCTAATCGCAAACAATTCTGTACATTTCCTGTTTCCTAAATTACATTACATGTCATTTGTTAGACGCTTTTATCCACAGCAACTTACATACATTCAGTACTGTGGACAACCCCCACAGGAGCAATTTGGTGGTGAAGTGTCTTGCCCAGAGACACAACGGCATGCTGACTGCAGTGGGACTCGAACTTGCTACCCCCTGATTCGAAGTCCAGCACACTACCCAGACCCACAGCCTTAAATGATTGTTATTGCTCATGTCATGGTGATCTCTTGAATGCATTAACCCTCCAACATTTCCAGCCTTTAGGTCAGTGCATGAGTTGTGTTTTATTGACTTTTTCTGTGAGAAATGTAGGCTAATATTCTAGCTGTATCTTTTTCTACAATTCATTGTTTAATCATGGGAATTGGTTTCAGCAGCAGTTGATACATCCCCCTTAAATCTTCCTCATTTCCTAAGGTATCACTCTCCAGGGTGCACCATTAAAACTTGAGAAGTGCAAGCATGCAAAGCCTTAGTAAACCGAGAGAGACATCTGTATCACTGTCCAATATAATATGTAAACAGGAAGTATGTACACAAGCTAGCACAACTTCAAATAAATACTGTGTGTAGTCAAGTATATCATAAATGTAAAATATCCTATTATGCTAAACTAACAAGTCTTCTGATTCATTCAAGTATGAGTAAGTCAAGTATTAATATGAAATGGTAAAATAGTCTACAACAAGTAAAAGTTGTATGTTTAAAACCTTATTAGGTAAAAAGGTATCTTAAGGAAAATGTATGTTAATTATCACGAGTAAAAGTAATGCCTCTAAAGCTGAAACATTTTATCAATCAATATTTAAAAGGTTTTTTCTCAGAGTGACAGCATGGAGAGAGCACTAAAGTCCAGGACAACAGAACAGAGGTGAGAAATGAAGGTATTTTAACACTGTTTTCTCAGAGGAAATCAGAAATAAAGTGAAGGACCGTCAGCAGGAGTGTTCAGTCGTACAGAGACTCCTTTGATCCCTCGTAGTGCTCAGCTGTCTCCTCAGGGCGATCACTGAGGTCCTGAGGAGAGAGGAGAGGTGTTAGATGAACAGGAAGTGTGTGTGTGTGTGTGTGTGTGTGTGTGTGTGTGTGTGTGTGTGTGTGTGTGTGTGCGTGCGTGCGTGCGTGTGTGTGTGTGTGTGTGTGTGTGTGTGTGTGTGTGTGTGTGTGTGCGTGCGTGCGTGTGTGTGTGTGCGTGCGTGTGTGTGTGTGTGTGTGGGTGTGTGTGTGTGTGTGTGTGTGTGTGTGTGTGTGTGTGTGTGTGTGTGCGTGCGTGCGTGTGTGTGTGTGTGTGTGTGTGTGTGTGTGTGTGTGTGTGTGTGTGTGTGCGTGCGTGTGTGCGTGCGTGCGCGTGCGTGCGTGCGTGCGTGCGTGCGTGCGTGCGTGCGT